AAGCCTTCAAACCCGCACTCATCCCAATTCAATTGAAGTCAAATCAATATAACTATTATCTAATATTTGTGCACAATGAAACTAATATTTTTTAGCAATTTTCATTTAATAAAAATTTGAAATTTACGTTCATTGTAGAAAATAGGTTAGTGTTGAGAACTTACATTAATAAAATGGATCCGACGACAACAATGACAACATTGAGATGCCACTTTAAATATGAGCAAATTGAATTTTCATAGTTCATTCATCGAACACTATATTCAATGTAGTTCTGAACATATATGAGAATAGTGCGACACACACACACATATACATTTAAACATACATTCAAACGTACAAACATACAAATAGAGCACAATAGTAAATTGTTTGTTTGACACACTTTATTGCGTTTTTGTGTAGTGGGTTGTAGGTATGTATGTGCGTGTGTGTGTGTTATGTGCTTTACATTGCACCAAATAGAGTGTGTTTATGTGTAGTACTGATGACATCAATTTTGCTGCTTGTTGTTCAATGTTCAATGGATCATTTCCCGGAATTTTGACCCTAAAGCGGACATTTGGTAAAATCTTTTTTCAGTTTTCTTACACTGTGCTTTGTTAGTATATAAATGAAATCTGAACTTTTATGTGAGTGTGTGCGTGCGTGTGTGTGTGGCTTTTGTTGTCAGTGTGTGTAACTGTCATTTCTCTTTTGTAAATTAAAAAGCACTTTTGGGCATATGTTGGCAAGTTATTTTGTCAATGCATAAATGTTTCATTGTGTCACAGATATATTCGATATTTCATTGAATGGTTGCATATATATATATATACTTATATATATATAAGTTTATCTTTGTGTCCTTCTTACTGTCCAAAAGTATAGTTGTATAGTATAGTTGTATAAAATTTATTTAAAAAAAATATAACACTTATGTGTGACATCCTTCCATATTGCGACACATATATTATAAAACATTTATATACCATATATACTAATTCTTCCAAAATGCTATATAAAGTGAAAGATTCTTGTGGGTCGAAAGTCAAGTTATGAAATTTAAATTTAAAATATTAGTGAAAAAAATATGAAAAATTTTCTATTTAGCTTTTGTCTATTCTACTTTTGTTCAATGAATTTTATATTTAAATTAGTATAAATATTAGGAGAGTTTGTTATATTTCTCTATTTAAAGGAATGAAATAGAAATGTTACACAATTCCTAGAATGCGATGCGATATGTTTCTTTTGATTAGTTTTATTGCCCACATCAAGAATTATATGAGATTTCCAAGAAACAATTTTAAATGTTGACAAATTTTGTGTATTTTGTTTCTAATTTAAACGTTTATTTAAACTTTTGAGTAATTTCAGTATGAATATATTATGAACACAGAAAGTCTGTAGGATTTGTTGATTTGTTTTTGAAAAATGACATTAAAAAGAGAATAAGAATAAGTAAAATAAATTATCTTCCTAACAACTTCATGAAAAGTTAAAATGTTAATTTCTGTTATGTCATTGTTAACTTATATAGTTCATGGAGAAGACTTAAAAATCCAATTCGTGCTATTTTGTAGTTATTTCAATAGATTTTTGATTTTCAAATATGTTTTGGATTTGTTATTTTATATTAAAAAACACTCAATTGTTTTATTTTTTTTTTTCGAGTTGTCTTTACAAAATATACTACCTCTACGCATTATTTATGTTACACTTACTAAGATCTTAAAGTTTATAACTTTTGTTTCTTATTTAATCGAGTGTAAATGCCATCATTCCTCTTAAAAGCAGATTTAATTTTTATGCAATCCTGCAAAAATCTAAATATCGTAGATTTTCCCTACGATAAAAGCAGAGTTGGTAGTGAAATATCTATTTCTATTAAAAAGCAAATAATCTCTGAGTAATAAATAACTGAACAAATTGTTTATATTTTTTCTGAATTTTTTAGTATACAGATTTAAGTAATCTATTTTTAATTCATCCTCACAAGAATTACATCCTAAAATTATGCAACATTTTTTCTTATGTCACATCTAACCACTATTGATGGAGATTTAATATATGGATTTAAAAAATTCAATATATTAATAATAAAATTTAATTGTTGCAATTTACTACTTTTTTAATTAATTTATTAAACCTAATTTCTATTAACTGTATAGCATAAACCAGTTGTATTATAAATAATTAAAATATGTGTATATAATGACTTAAAATTTAGTTGAGATGAAGCGGTTAAAGACTTGTGTGAGTATATCCTGATTTTTGCTTACAATTATAATTATATCTTACATATCTTATAGTGCTAAGTTTATAACATAATTGAAATCATTAAAGTTGTATTCTAAATCTTTTTTGTTCAATTTTTTAAAATCCAATACAATTAATTACTATTATTAGTTCAGATTATAACACCATAAAATTTAAGCTGCTAAACCAACGATGTGGGACAATTTAGTTTTAAAATTTTCAATACACATGCTTAATATATTTGGGCCATAGTCAGTTAATACTAAAAATATATTTATCAAGTTTAATTTTTTATGCATTTTTCTCACTAAATTTATTAGCGCAATTTAATCCAACTAAATGCATTTCAACATTTACTCTTATACACATACACATACAATACAATAAACAGACTCATACATACACGCGTATAACGTACGTACGTCTGCAGTTCTATGGAAAATTTTCTAATTGTTGAAATGTTAGACTTTGTCGTTGGTTCAAAACAATAAACGTAAATCAACTCTGTTTTTTGAAATTTTGTTACCAGCTTTTGCTATTTGCATTTGTTTGATTTTGTGTTTGTTGCTTTTGTCATTGTTTTTGTTTTTGTTTTTGTTTTCGTTTTCTTTATATTTTTGTTTTCAGTTTCTTGTTTTCAGTTTTCAATTCACTGTCATTACGTGCGCGTTTTGGTTTTGTTCATGAAAAGTCATTGTACTGTGCCGTCGCTTAAATCATTGCCTCCCTTTATCCTTGCCATTATTATGGTTGCTTAGCTGAATTTAGCATTGCTTAGCATGATTCTTGCCATTGCTGAATTGCGGTATCGCTAAGGCTGTAATCATAGTCATAGTCACAGTCACAGTCACAGGCACAGTCACAGTTGTAGTCACATAAGTAATTGTTGTTGTTATTGCTTTAGTTTTCCAGTCTATTATTTGCTATTGTAGTTAGTATGCAATTTTGGTAGAATTTAGTGTTGGTGTGTTAGCGTTGTTGTTGTTGGTTAGTAGTTTTAGCATTTCTTATATTCTATAGAAGTTGTTGTTTTAGTCATCGTTTTTGTTGCTTTTATCGCTTTTGTTTTTGTAGTCATAATAATTTCTTAATGGAATTTGAGCATCATAAACTGTGAACTCTGAGATTGCTTACGTTTATATAATGCGAGCGAGTTGCTGTTATTTATAAAATATTGTGGCATACATTTCGGCGCAAATATATAAATATTTCTCTTTATTAAGTCTTTCAGTGTTTGAATAATATTTTTGTTATTTCTCTTTGTTTCTCAAGCAGACAATGCCCAGCTTTTTATCAAGCCTTTTATTTTCAACATAAAAATTGACATAAATTACAGTTCATATTTTTGCATATTTACTTTAATGGAGGACGGCGATGATGAGCCATAGGGATTCAAGTGCTTAATGACATTTCGCAAGAAGTGGAAGATGTGTAAACAAATTGGGTAAAAATACAAAAACCAAATTATTTTTAAATTTTTTGATTATACAAATAAAAATGGTTTAATATTCCTTATTTTTTTAATAAAATATGAAATTTCCCCTGAGTGTGCAAATAAAATAAAATTTATTTTAATGCAAAGGAATGATTTAATATTATGGTAAAAAAAATATATAGTTTATTTGTAATAGTTTTTCATTTATGTGTTTATGTAAATATGCTGGCAATGATAATGAGTATATTTAATAATGAAATTGTCAGTTAATATATAAAAACTTTTTTTTATTTTTAAATTCAACCTACCAGCAACCGATACCAACAGTTTTAAGTAAAAGTAGGCTAAGTATAAATACCTTGGTTGCTGGTTAAATGAAGAGTGGACATGAGATCAAGAAATCAAATATCGAATAAAGATGACAAGAAACTCTTTCCACAAATTCAAAAGAGTGGTATGTAAAAGCAACATCAGCAACAACTTACGTATGCGCTACGTTATATGCTATGTCTGGTCCATTCTACTCTATGGCTTGGAATCTTAGACTTTAAAAATTCTAACAATGAACAAAATCGAAGTTTTTGAAATAGAGTGCTACAGACGTATTCTGAAGATTCCTTGGACAGACAAAATTTCAATGAAGAAGTTCTAACAAGATTAAGAATTGTCTATATAATCCTAAAAACTATTAAAATAGGAAAAACGAAGTATTTTGGTCACATCATCCGAGTTCCAAAATATGATTTGCTGCAACTGATAGTGGAGGGCAGAATCCAAGGCAAATGCGGCATGGGAAGAAAACAAATGCCTTGTTTGAGGAACATCCGATACTGGACTGGGTTAAGAACGTATGGGGACTTGGTACATACTGTGAGAGACAGAGAGAATATCATATTGAATGATTGTATAGCATTTAATTTTTGAAGAAACAAAGAAGAAGAGGCACTCTTTTTTATTTAATCCTTATGCAAAATCATATGTAACTGTCTTGAATTCTTCTTAAACAATTTTTAATCCTGATCGACTATAAATTTTATTATCCCTACACTTAATTTGTGAAACTGTGAATAAATTTCTAATGTCATTAAAGTGGTGTATAAATGAAATAAATAAATTCAGTCCAATGCAATCAGTGTACCGCACTGGACATTACTTTCGGTTTTATTTGTTTTGTTATGTGGGAGCAGAATGTCTTTTTGTCCTTTTTCAGTGTAAATTTAAAACATGACTTTTTATTTAGATTTTTTGTCTTGTTTTACTTTATTGCTGATTTGTTTCTCATTGTACTGTAAAATTGTTGAAAGAAGAATTGAAAAATTAAAACTTGATGTGAAATCAAAGTGCCACTGCCTACAGCAATCAAATTGGACAACTCCTTCCCTATTCTACTGTTTCCCCTCGAAGGAATTGATTTGGATTACGAAGACATTTGTCATGAAATTGAATTTATTTCGAAATCAAAGGGAATTCTTTGTATTGCTGTTGCGGATGGGTGCCTCAAGGGAACAACATATGTGGACAATTTGTTTAAAAAAAGGTTTCGAACTATGTGGAAATGTATGGTTAAAATGAAATCGAAAGGGCAGTTCTCAAATGCAAAAAGGAATCGATTTATAAGGAAAGTAAAATAGTGAAGCTGCTAATTTTTTAAGTAAAATTTTAATAGTTTTATTTCAATTTTACATTCAAAGTGAGCAACAGTTTTTAAAATTTAATTGCTGGATCAAGTCAAAAAATTTATATGAGTCAAGTATTGATTGTTCGTAGTGTGAAATTTTGTAAAGAATATAACTGTATTAAAGTGTTTTATGAAAAAGGGATTCGAAGTTAGGAATTCAATCCAACTCAGACTGCAGATACTGTAGAGAAGAGAGAGAAACTAAATACCATGTGATTGCGGAATGCCCGACACTGATGCATAAGCGGAGAAAACTCCTAGGAGGGTATTTCATGGATCATAAGGATTCAAGACTAGGAAAGAAATATCATTAAAAAAATCGAACTTGGAGAAACACTCTAACTCGACTAAGGGGGACAATAGATCTCTTAGGTAGCTGTGCACGATCTCTTCTTTTAATAATAATAATAATAAATGGAAAAGGGATAAAAGGGGAAAAGGGATACACTGTAACTTAAAAGATCTATTGTGTCTCTAATAATGTAAGCTAATGTTTTTTAATTTCATATTATTTTATTCATTATTGTTATTTGTGTTCCTTTCATCTTATGAAATTAAGAAAAAATTCTTAATTTTTGGTTTGTGGATTATCGATGACTCGTTTACATATATAAATCAGTAAGATGGATATAATAGCTGCCAGATTCTGATCGACTTCGTTATAGCTCGTAATAATAACCACAAAAACACTGAATATGTAGACTACTTCAATTTTTTTTGGCAGTATCTTTACCTTAAAGACTGGTACAGATGACGAAATCTCATTTCAGTACAAGCTTCCACATGCTCGAGCATATATGACTATAAAATAAAAGAAAAGCCCAATTATGAATACTCCTGCTCGTATATGGTGACCTATCTCATTAAAGGTATAGATATGTTGGATGTCATCAATAATTATTTATTTGCTTGGAAAGCAGATATATTTATTCTTATACCAATTGCTCAAATTGGCTTAAAAATTAACACAATCGCCAATGAACAAAATTTTGTGACTGTATTAAGATAAAACTGGTGAGTACTTGTTTCATGGAGGGGTTAAGCAGGATCAATGAATTATTGAGAGGAGTGAATTATTCTTGCAGTGATATTTCTATAAGACTTTTATAAAATTTCAGAAATCGTATAAAAAACATCAATGTTTTATAAATCGTTTTTTGCGAATTAAGTTTAACAAAAGTTGTCAGCAAAAACTCAAGTGAAAAGTGTAGGGTGATCGTGACCTTGAAAAATGAGGCCTAGGGTTAGTTTTACAACGCAGATTTAAGTTAAGGCTCAGTTAGACGGTAGGTAACGTAAGAAATTAACTCGAAGCGAAATGCATAACTAACCAAACCTGTGTATTTCGCTTTGAATTAATTTCTTACTTTACCTACCATCTAACTGAGCCTTTAGATTTGTAAGAGTTTGATATTGGGCATTACTACAGCCGTTAAAAATATGTCATGGCTTTTATGGGATAGAAAATTGATCCCATATTTATTTAAACAAAATATTACTATATTAAACTGACAAGAGCAGATCTTCTTGATGATGGCGAGGAATTTAGTAAGGTATGAATCACGGTTGCCACTTATGGTACTTTAGTACCAAAATTGGTACTTTTTTTTTTTTTTTCGTTTGGTACTCATTTTCAAAAACTGGTACATTTTTGACGACCCAACTTTATTGTGGATATTTCCAATTAATTTTTTTTATAAATGCAACTTTGCACTATTTTATATTTTGTTCATTTATAACACTATAAAAAAACACAGAACGAGAAAACAAAAAGGTCTAAAAAAATTTTGGACCTTTTTTTACAGAAATGGTACCTTTTTAAACCAATTTTGGTACAGAAAAAAATTTTCAAGTGGCATCCGTGGTATGAATTATTAAAAGTTCTATGTCACGAAATAAATAATGAAATATGTAAACTTAAAAATCAAAAGCATTAAACGGTATTTAAAGTAGAGAGTTCTCAAACCATTTTAACAACAGATGGCCATCTAGTACTACGTAACTTAACAAATATTAAACTTACTGTCGCTAATAGACATGCGAGCTTTAAAGCATTCCACCAAAATCAGCAGAAAAAATGAAATGGTAAGCACGCTTTAAAGTACTAACTACAGTAACAAAATAGCACAAGATGACGTTCTAAAACATTTTTTTTAGTCATATACTCGAAGAAATGGAATATGACTTATAATTTGCTAACATTAATTTTATTAAAATATTTATTAAACCAAATAAAGTTATTACTTATATATAGAAAAAATTGTTCAAAGTGAATAAGAATTATAAAGTAAATTTTAGAAAAATAAGTGTAAGTATGATTAGAACATATTTCTACTTATTGTCCTACAATTTAATATATAATTCTTCTATACTTTGAATTAATTTTGATGCAGTTTGATGATGGATACCATTAAGTACAAATGTTTAAATGTAATACGTACCTATGTTAAAATGTATTAATGTGTAAGCCGTGTTATTATGTTAATTATTCTATGCTATGTTTAAAAAAACCTTGCTTTGTTCATAGAGTTAGTGGCGCATTAATTTATTATTCTTTTCTGATTTGACTATATAAATTGATTTCAATTATTTCTATTCACTGCGAGAATACTTAAGGTTCAATTAGTCGGTACGTGCCGTGCCGTACGAGCTTAAGACAAAGCGAAATGCGCAACCAACCATATCTGTGTCTCTGAAAGGGGCGAAATAAATAAAAACGGCGAACTTGGTTTATATTGTTTTCATCAGATACAAGCATGTGGTTGGTTGTGTATTTGCTTTGGCTTCAGTTCGCTTAAGTTGCTTGCTTCGTCAATAATTTAAGTATATAGTGCATTTATTTTTGTTAATAATCTGTTTTATGCTACAAACAAAAAATATATTCGACTTCGTTAATAATAACTGCAATACAAAATACGCTCTCAATCTCATATTTTTAAGTACTCGACTTCTGTATTGCCTTAATAATTAAAGAACTTTTCGGATTAGGTGATTTTGTTGTTTTGGTTCCAATATTTTTTTATTTTACAATAATTTTTTATAAACAAAGGAAGTAACACACACACTTACCGATTCAATGGCCTTCTCCAAGCGGAAAATTTCTTCTTGCAGCAAATGAAGCGTTCCAGTTTTACCACGATGGCGTGCAAATGCAGCAGCGCATGCACTGTGTATGCTATTGACCCAATTTTCTAGTTCAACCTGAAATTTTGAAAAAGCAGAAAAAGAACTTTTAAGTGCCATTCATCGAATTCGAAAATTCTAATTATGCACTTTAATTGAAAAACAAGCAATCTAAACTAGACAAATTGGTTGAACATTTGCAAATCCTGTTAATTTATGTAAGCGCTGTAAGGCTACAAAGGATATGGAAGTACCCATTCAATATGTACTGAAATCAGAAAAGAATTTTAAAAAAATATTGAAAAATCTGTAGAAATATGGAGTATCAGATAAGCCTGTAGCTGCTGTAAGCCTAGTTTTGTTCTGGTAAGTCATTCATTACATGGTACATATGGTATACATGGTACATATGGTATACATGGTACATATGTATATAGTATATATACTCAGACACACGAATGAGATATATGCATGAGATATAGTCACATTACTAAAAGCACTAAATCGTACTCGCTAAGGTTAAACAATGACACAAAATGCATAAGTGACAAATATCATTAATAATAAATTCAAAACAGCCATGAGACAACCTACAAAGGCTTTTGTACTTTTGTACTCCAAAAAAGAAAAAGGAACTGCGATATTGCCTGCGTATGTGTCAAAGCATAGCCACTTAAGGCGCTTGCAACACATAATAAGGTCATTTTTCGATTGCAGTTGCACCAACAGAATAGCAGCACTGGCGACAACAACAGCAACAACAAAAGAAGCAGCAACACCAACGCCAACACCAACGCCAACGTCAACAGTAATTGCAGTTCGCATTCATGGCGATGGCGATGGCGATAGTGAATTGCAATGGGCGATGGATGTCCGAGGTATCATGCTCCGGTTTTATTACGACACTCACACACAAATGCCATTTCGTTTATGTGTTGCACTTTTTATCCTCAGCCTTATGAGAAGGATACGCTCTGTGATGAAGTTAGCCGCGAGCAATGAACTTCTATGGATCTGTTTTTTTATTCGTATTCATTCAGCAGCCCATTTGCATTATTATGCAAACAATTTTCTATTCATTGGCCGTTTGGCTGTTTGCCTATTTCCTCGACTGACTGGTGCTGGAACCTAGCTGCTGGTGTGCATGCGTTTGTATCCTTGCTGATTCCGAAGCTGTTGGCACTCGGTTGGCATGAATTTCATTTAAAATTGTATCCCATGATTTCGTTTCATTTCGTTTCGTTCAGTTTGTGCAGCCATAATTTTCAGTGCATATTTACAAGGACATCTTTTGTTTAAATTGGTCATTTTTTTATTAGAACTTTTGTGTTTTACGAAAGTTCTCTATTTGCTCGCTTTTTATATACTAAAGACAAGAATAAAAAATTTTTTTGAAATATATAGCATTTTTAAAACTGCTGCAGATTATGTCGTTGGGTAATAGAAACCATGGACATTGACTTGAATCGCCTCAAGGCTCTTTCGTATTGCAAATACATTCAAGGATGCCCGACCATCGGGCAGCTGCTGGTTTGTGTGCTTATTTGATCAATTTAAAAATTATACGCTGCTGTGAATATTTTTAAAATTTTTTTTAATTTATAACTAAGTTCATTTTCTCTGAAACTTGTCTTGTAACTGCATAGTGGTGAGAGTACAGTATTTGATATATACATATTTCAAATGATGGAAGAAATAAGGTTAAAAGTTTTGAAAGTGAGTATTTGATATACCATCTAATATGTTATGAATCAACTATGTTGAGTTGAGTTTAGTTGCAAATCACTAAAACCATACACTCAGAAGAATATGCTTTAACCACATACTAGTTAAATTCAACTGATCATTTTGTTAGAAAAATTATAGCTCGTGTGATAAAGAAGAAATAAGAACCAACATGTGGTATAGTTAAACCAACATAATGCATCAGGTAAGAATATTTTCTACTGAACTTTAGTTAAAATTTAGTTAAATCAACCAATTTATTTTTCTAAGTGTACATCTAACTATTAAATATAATAGAGCGCATTGCAGTGACTGTCGGAAGAAGGGAGCTTGCAGATGTACGTGTATTACTTACTGCTTAAGCTGGTTGCTAATGATATATTTAACGGATTATCATGGACTGTGTTATCACTTTAACAAAATGGATCTGTCCAAAGAGATAGATTGTCGACTCTGCGTGGAAACACACGAGACTTCCAGTCACATTCTCTGTGACTACCCAGCCTGGAGGAGGTCACTGGGTCGATAACTACTCTGCCCTTCTGACATTAGAAGGTCCTCAACGTTCGACATTCTGGCCTTCATACGGAAGGCAGAATGTCCTCCGTTCGGTTAGGGCCTGTTACAGCATAAAAGATCAACCATGGTTGGGAGCTGGTACCCTGTTTATTCCTATTTGTACTGCTTAAGGCTATTATTTCATTCAAATACGCTACAAAAATTATGTACCATAGACTACTTATATATAAAAGTCCAACGCTATGTAGAATAAATGTACAAAATAGCACTAACAACTATTCTATAAAATAGATCGATGTATCTTTTTTCAAAAAATAAGATATAATTCTTGTTAGCAATTAAAAAATAAAGTTAGTTCTTTAATTCTTTAATATTAAATTACTAGAAATGCACTGCGGGGTAGGTGTAGATAAATTTTTGCTATTAGCAGATATAAATGACTATCTTCATCTTCGTGATGAAGAAACAATTTTGCAGGCTGTGTTGTTAGCAGTTAGGGAGGCTTGGTTATTAATTACAATCAGATCTGGACAGTATTGACTACTCTTGTCGTCCATATATTGACCGGTATAGTATTAGCTTATTTATTAAACTCAAGTTGCTGGCGTTACTACGGAGGTTCCTCACTAAGCCTGTAGTATTAAAAGGACAAATAATTGCTAATTGTACCAGGAGAAGGATTATCTGTCGATCAGACACTGCACTGGAAGCTGTTTGTTGAACTTCAAAATTGTGAACGTTTTCGACTCTCAATATCTATATAGATTCTCTATTGAATGATTATCAAATTAAAAGATTTTAAAGATTCTCATACATATTGTTAATTGAAATATAGTAAGAGCATACGAAATCGATAATACATATATATAGTGGGTGTGTCAAGTAGTTTGAGATATTCTTTCTTAAAGAATACATAAATTATTTATTAGAAAATAAATTTAAATTTCTAAGGTATTGCTGGGCTATAACTATATCCACTTTTTGGACTATATATATATTTCGTGCCAAAGGAAGCGTTTAACTTTACAAACGAATGAATCTAATTTTTTAATCTAGTCATATAACGCATTATTTATTTTCTAGATTAAATAATGAACTGGTGAAGCAAAACCGTTCAAATGGTAGTATGGAAAATAGTAGTATTTACTAGTTTAGTACTTGTAACTAATTTTTGTACAACTGTAACATTTTATAGTACAGTTGTAATATAATAAATGTCTGTCAGTATCATATCGAAATTTAGCACAACTTCCTAGTCTTAGTTTTGCAAATATTTTTAAGCTGATATACCAATATGTCCTGAACCGTATACAAGAAAGATTTTGGGGTTGAAATCTCATTATTACATATTTCGGACTATTGGTTACAACAGATTTTTTCACTTCTCTGAGGGCAATGTCGTGTTGTGGGATCTTAAATTGAAAAACTAGTCATTTTTGCTACTGAAAAGTCTAGTCTATATATTAGAATACATATTAGTCGTTTCAATTAACTGAAAAGTTGGTGATATCTTAATTGCTTTACAAGTACTGGAACCTTTTCAATAGTAAAATATGTAAATGTAATATGATATTCCCTTTTTAAAAGTTATGTATTCGTATATCATATTGTATTTATATATGTTCACATATTTATTTTATTTCTGACAGCAATGAATATGTGATTACCATGTAGATAAATAGGTTTTGCAAATGTCACAGTGGCATAAAAATAGAAAGTTCAAGTGACGTACATTAAACGTGTGAGTATCGAACACAATTGAAAAGGCGTGAAAATAGGCGTTAGGCGTTACTTGAAGTACCAAAGCAGACGTTTCATTTAAAATAAGTGCTTTTACTTTGCTTCAATTTTCAATCAAATTAGATTGTAAATGTGCTTAAATCTTTTTTCTTTTACATTTTGGTTGTGAACTACTGATATTTTGAACGTTTGAAGATACTAATCAAAGACAACTGAAAATAAACACAAAATTGGCTTCACATTTGCTAAAAATAGCAAAAGAGAAAAGTACATCGATGATGAAAGATAGAAAAAAAGTTGTATGAATTTTTATTGAAATTTCACGCTTAAGTGCTTTGCTTTCCTATGCAGCAAAGCAGCATATGCTCTTCTTACCACATATCGGATAATCTACTTAAAACCATTTTAAATGCATAAAGATAAAAATATAACTGCTAGAATATCAAGAGTTCACACGACCCAGTTCGTGGGTCGATCGAGCCGGCAATCAAATAGAAGTTCAATTTCAAAAATTAAAAATTCTTCACGTATGCTTTAGATTTCAGTAACCAGAATCCAAACCAGCACCGGCACCAATACCAGTACCACCATCAGCAGTAGTTGTAGCAGTGTTAGCAATTGATCCATGACAAACCAAACCGAATCCACCTACATAAAACCGAAGACTTCAACATTTTGTTAAACTATTTCTCAGTTTCAGTGGAATTTGATTCGATGTTGTTTTATGCGATATAATTTTTTCTTATTTTTTTTTAATATTTTTTTTCATATTTTTTTTGTGTTGATTTTGATTTGAATTTTGAGTTTTCAGCTTTTATCGCAACAATAAAAATTTTCAGAGAAAAGTTGAAATTTTGTGAATTCTATAGATTCTATGGATTCGCACTGGCAGCGCTACTATTTTTACGTACAAGTGTCACGTCGTCATTCATACGTTGACATTTATGTTCGTGAATCTGAATACCAATGAAACTCTATACCAAACTACCATATACTACCATATACTCCCATTTGGAGTTCCATATCTGGTTGGTTGGTTCGTTGGTTGGTCGTACATCTGCTTTTGGTTAGAGATTTTTTTCTTTTACATTGTATTATCCGTAGTTTTATTTTAGGTGCTATGAGAATGGAATTTTTTCTTGTGTGTGTGCATTGTGTGTATTATGTGTTACTCTGTAGTGTACTCACCTGACAGGGCGCTTGGAACAAATACGCATCTCCGAATGCAGTACTCAAACAGAATATATAATCGCGTTTTGGATGTTCCGGAATTGGTTGCATAATCGCACCATCAACAATAATTAAATGTTTCGGTGCTGCTTCGACGCTACGTCCTTCGCGCGAATCGCATGGATAAAATAGTAGTGTGGTGCCTTTCAAGCAGACCCAGTAACCCTTCCAGCCACGTTTGCGTGCCAATTCGATTTGATGCTTTTTGCGAAGCAACCATTTTTTCACCGAAAGGAAACTGTTGAAGAGAAAATCAAATATAAAAAAATATTTTTTCAAAAATATGAATTTTTTGCAAAAATTGAAAGAACTCCGCATTTCTCATACAAAAGGTTATCATATGATGAACTATAAATTAGTAGTTGCGGAAATGTGAAAATGAAAATGTGTTATGGGAACGTACTGTGGCTGCACTTACTGTTAACTGCAGTACGATAGATATATACCATATATTGGAAAAAATTCTTAAAATCGAATATTCCAAGTAAATCAAATGAAATATTTGAATGCACTGCAAACTCGTTAACTGCAGAGAGTTGGATGAGAGGTTGAGATGAAATAAATTTTGTATATTTGAATTGGTTCATTTGCTTTGGAATCGAATTTTAATTCCACTTATAATTGTTGATATCAGAATATCTATTTTTTGCCAGAAAAAATATTGAAGGTAGTAGATTTCAATACGTATGTGTTTATTCTATATGCACAGTATTCTATTTATAGAGGTATATATATTCTATATGTATAAGGGTATACCTTCTATCATGTTATTATTTTAAAAGCATGTTTTACAACACTGTTAATGATTGGGTGTTGAAAGTGCTAAACAATGTTAAGTAAGTCGTAAACAAGGCAATAGATTTCAAAACATAAGTGTTTATTCTATTTATAGAGCTATATATATTCTATATGTATAAGGGTATACCTTCTTTCATGTTCTTATTTTAAAAGCATGTATTACAACACTGTTAATGATTAGGTGTTGAAAGCGCTAATCATCGTATGATAGAATATAAGGAAGCTTTTTCTATTAATTGATTCTAAGCAGTTTATAGTATATAAAAAAATAAATGCAAAAAAAAAGAATTCATAAAATCGGAGTAAAAGCGTTCAAATCAAATTAATAAAAACTTATTCACAGGAGGCCTGAAATACAATATAATAATGTTCACATACTTAAATGTGATGATAAAAAGAAATTGAATTTCGAAATACAATCGAAGTCAAATCTATTTGACAATTGAATTTGAAGCGTGTGTGATTGACAACACCCGCTTCGCAACACTCACCACCCCACAGCGATATTAGCTCTCAACACTATGGCTGGAATACTATGCTTATATATGTTATATGCTGGTAAGGTAGTAAGTTGGTAAGGTGGCAATGATTTTAAGTTATAAAATGTGGCAATGTGAACATTTTGCCAACAGTTGAAAATAGAAAAGTGGAAAAAATGATAAAAAATAATACAAAAGTAAATAAAAATGGCTACATTATTTTTTATTTTACACCATTACGGATTTGGAGCTGCAAACATAAGGTAAGGTGATATCATCAAAGGTAGAAGTAAGTGAGATACATTTCTTGTAGGCCAGGCAGGAAGCCATGTGCAGTAATTTTTGATATGAATGTGCGGATGCTGGTATCTGTTTTCTATTATTACCTATTATTATTGTTATTATTATCGATTATTGATTAAACATACCCAGCTTTACGAACAGCGCCAGTGCAATTAAATGAGGACGCAGCTGTACCAGTTGCTTTTGCTTTATATGGTGACGCCATGACACTTTCGCCATCATCTTCATCAGAAACGGCTGTAGTTAAGCTCATTCGATCATCATCGGAAATCTGTTAATAGTTAAAGAGAAACAAATACAAAATTAAGTATTTCAGTAAATTATATTAATAGATAATTTTATGAAGATGCTATATTTTGTAGCTAAACGGTTTAGTAACTGAAATTTGCTCATTAATATATGTGTTATATTGTGATTTACTTAACAACATTTTATATAGTAGAAAAATAATATGATATAAAAATATAAACGTTTATGAATACAATTTGGTATATTTCTTTTTTTATATAAAATAAATTAGACCATTCTTTTACGATGTAGGGCGAGTAAGCCTATATAGTAAATCTGTTTTATAGTTGGAGAGGGTTTAGGGAGTAATATTTCAAAATTATTTTTTATAATAATAAATAGCTTCAATTAAAACTCATAAAAAATAAACTACTTGAAGAAATATAACGATTAACAATCTATAATTGTTATAATTCAGTTACCAATAACAGACACACCATAACAACGTAGTGCGTATATCGAGAAGAGCGATATTTGAATAGTATTTTATAAGTGCATGAAACTCGCAAAGTTTCTACTTAAATAAATACATCGAAGCAACTCATACTATAGTAGGAGTTCATAAATTCTATTAGAATGACTTTTGATCAATATGTTATGTAAGGCAATTTAAAGAAAGGAGAAAATAAAATAATAATGTTTCTAATGCGCTTGGGCAAGTTTATATCGTACACTAAAATAGTTATGAGTTTTAATTTTTGGGAATGATATATATAAAAGAATCAAAACTTTTTATGTAAGAGAAAGCAGTAAAACTAGTATATCAAACAGGAAATGAGTTTTCAGCATTACTGAAAATCAAACGATATAACATATCTACGTTATATCTTCATTATATCAACGTTATACCTATATTATAACTACATATGTCACTTAACAAGAATCTTAACTCAAAAACTGCAATGTTTTGTCAATAAATGTCTTAGGTCTATAATATTTTGTGAATATGATGGGCAAGAATAATATCAAACGAAAGTCTATGGTGTGATTCTTCTCAGAAGTCAAAAGATCAGGGAATACGGTTACCAAAATATAGATGGTTGGATCATACACTACGCAAAGACACAAACGATGCAGCACATGCCGTGCTCTGCTGGAAACCACAAAGCAGAAGAACACAACGACACCCAAGCAATCAATACCTTTCGAAGAACAATAGAACGTAAAACGAAAACATAAATGAACGAATTGAGATATATAGCTAGAAATAGAGAAAAGTGAAAACTCTATAAAGACTATTTCTCAATCTTATATTGTCCATAAGATGGGTTTAGCAAAGATGGAATGTAAATCGCCTGGAGCAAAGGAAACTGTTACATACGTGTTTGGTGCATACTTTCCACGTGTACGGATGAAGCTTTGATGTGATTTAATGCCATAAACTATAGAACATAATCAAACAAAATAATTAAGGAAGAGGAATATATTCTGGTAAGCATATAGAGAATAGATTTTTGAAAGGACAAATTTGAGAAAGATTTTGATACTGCACAAAAAACAAGAGAAACGAAAGAATGAATAATAATGAAATATATCAAAAAGACATAACAATGGGTAATTACTCGAGTTTAAGTGGGGTTTGGTATACTGCCCGTCATTGCAACCATGTCAAGCTGTAGAGTTTAAAATGAACACGTTTTAAAAGATTACACGAAATAGGACCACAGAGAATGGATGTACTCAACTTGAACGTGGCAAGAATAAGAACTCTTTATGCGATAAAATTTAATCCTATCAAGGATATAAATCTGTCATGTGGGATAATCATGCAGATGATAAATATATGGACGAAGATTACAATAGCTTACGAGGAATTAAAGTCAACAACTGAAAGAAAAGAGCTAAAAAGTTGTTTAAATTAGAAGTTATGCTTCCACATGTGTAGACCTTTCAAGAACCTAAACCTTATATGCACAATAATTTTGTAGATAGTAAATAAGTGGATGGTTTGGCAAGTTACCAAAAAATTGATGTCATTAACGAAAGAAAGAAACTAAGAACGTGCTATTAAGAACTTAAATTTATTATGCAGGATAATAATGGAGAAGATAAATACATTGAAGGTATAATGACTTACAGTGATTTAATCTCATCAACTTGCAAGAAAGAACTAAAACTATCAAATTATGCTATCGTGCGATAGGTTAGGGGTTCTCCAGTAATTAAATCTGCTATATACGTTTAGAAGAAGATGAATTTATGGAAAGTTCAGTAACTTACAGACATCATTAACTATAAAGAAGAAGCTAAAAAACAAGAAGCCATAGCGTCATATTGCGGTTTTTCAGAGTCTATGACACTGACACCAAGGGAGTTGAGGAAGATAGAATTAATGCTTTATTTACGTAAAATAATCTTACAATCCATTTAAAATTGTTAATGGTTTTGATATAAAATATATATTGTAGAGGTTATTTTTATTTAAATGTAATATTTTTTTTTATCAAGGCAATAATAATTTCTTACTGATAATTTATAAAATTTTTCTGCTTTTTAGAAATAATTTTTTATAATTTTTTTCTTCAGCTATTAATGTAATTTGTCAAGAAGCATAAAAGAAAATTATTTCAAGCAAATAATATTTATTTTAGTCCACTTAACGCTGACATAAAAATGATAGGCGTATTTGTCTTCCTTTTTTGCTCCTGCAGATATTTGAGAGCAAAAACCTCGGCTAATATTTTTAACGCTTCATTATCAGCAACAATAAAAAAAGAATAAATATCTTTACGCTTTACTGGCTGCATTGTCCATCCAAATATATATTTGATTTATGTATAGGCACATGTACATATGTACAATCATGTATATATATATATGTGTGTGTATATATAAATAAGTAATTTTTTTTATGTATTTTATTTGATGTGTCCAAGCTAACTTTTCTTAATTTTTTTATGTACTTTTTGAAGTTGAAGTTGTTTTTGTGATAAGAAAATTTTCGTATGTCCTTTAGCACGTGTTGAACTTGTCAACCTACACATTAACAGTACAAAAACAAAAAAAATATATAAAATAAAAAAGTGCAAGTATCTCAGCTGAGCTGAGCTGAGATACTCGTACTTATATAAAAAGCAGCAGGCATAAATGGTGTCAATTTTGACGTGCCACCTTTTCGCCTTTATTGCCATAAATGACGGCAATTCGTGCTGGTGTCCTGTTTTGTTGTCCCTGTTTTTGTTGTCCCTGTTTTTGTTGTCCCTGTTTTTGTTTTGTTTGATGATGTCTTAAATTAAAGTGAAAATAATAAAGTCGGTGTTGATTTGGTAGTAACTTTTATATTTATGTGTAGGCAGGTTGAACATTATTCTTGTTTGGCGGTCGTTGTTGGTCGTTGGTTTGCTCGTTGCTCCTGAAACTCCAATTCAGTTTTGGTCATTTAATTTTAGATAATTTCACATTCCAGCGTGTCCTTTCCTAATTAGGCATAACAGCGCGCATTCAAGCAACAAAAAACGTGTCCATTTCGGTTTGTTAATATTCTATTTATTTCTTTTTTTGTCAGTCGAGATTTCGAGATTTCGAGATTTCTAGATTCAGCCTGAGTGATTTGGCGGCTGTTACGGTGAAATGTGATGGCAGTACATTTGGGGTAAAGAGGTATTAAATTTCGTTGTACCACCAATAAAATTTTTATTGTTATGCATCCAATGTTGTAGAAAATGCAATTTTCTGAGAGTAATAAATATTTTAGAATTCCTTAAAAATAGCAGTAAGAGACTTCAAAGGAAATACTTAAGATTTTATGTGCAATAAAAACACCAAAAAATTTTAATTTAAAATGTTTAAACATGAAATACTAGTTAATTCAAAAATAGATTGTCTCCAAAATAGACGACTCAAACGGTTTTTAAGAGAAACAAAATATAAAGCTGAGCATGATATAACATTTAGAGTTTTCGTAAGATACTTAAGTAAAGATATATTAGTTTATTTGTAGATATGTAAGATTCTTACTTTAATAATACATAAAATTAAGCACGGATACATAATATACTTGAAATATGATATATAAGTTAACTTATGGATATTTTGAGTTGATACTTTCACAATGTATAAGAGGATGGATAAGATAGATAACGTCATTAAGTAAAGATAAATTTGTTCATTTTTAGATATTTGGATCTATTATTCTAATAATTTATAAGTTATAAATATTTTAAGTTGATGCTTTCATAATGTATTAGATGACACATAAGATTTATAACATACTTAAGTAAATATACCTAAGTGAAGATTGTTTCATTTTTAGATATGCGAGATTGTCACCTTAATAATAAATAAGTTGAAGCGTACTATACATAATACACTTAATTAATGATATTTAAGTTTACTTATAGAAATTTTCAGTTGATATTGTATACGATTGTACATAAGATACATGATATACTTAACCAAAGATATATTAGTTTACTATAGCTAAGTTAGGTTGACACTTAGAAAACAGTTTACGACTTCATATAGAAATTGTATGAAAACATATAAGTTTTTGTTATATGGATTTATTATAGTTTATATATGAACGCCTAACAAGGAATAATTGCAAGATATTGAAGAATTCATATACATATAAGCATAACTGACAGAAAATGAAATTTAATTTTAGATAAGTAAATTATAGAACAAAGTATATACGGACTATAAACTAATTAAATAATAAATAATAAATAATTTTGACAAAAAACTTGGAACTTGAACCTGCAGCCATGGCTGCTTGTGGATAAACACGATTAGTCATCGCTTCTTATTTGACAGGCATGAGTTCTAAGCCTGGCACTTGCAGTCCAAACAATTTATATACGGACTATAAACTAATTAAAAATTCGTTTTTTTCCTAAGACCACTGATGATGAGTACTTGACAATACTCAAAACAGCGTTGTAAGGTCACACAAATTCAAATAAATTAATAAAAAAAATTTTGTTGTTTGTTCTTTATTACTGTTCGAACCCTTTTAACTTACTTTTAGTGTCCTTTCAGATTAAGACACG